GTAAAATACAGAATTTATTAAAAATTTTCATATAATTTAGACAAGACTAATTAGCGATTATTAATTATATGATATTTATTATTAATAATCGATGTAATAATAGAGTTTTATAAGATTTATATAATGTAAACAATCGCGATTCAAAGAGTCATTAATAAATTATCAATCGTCTTTTAAATTGTAGGAAAAAATTGTTGCACAACAAACGTATTTTGTACAATTTATATTATTTGTGCAATTTTGTACTATTAAAGACTATTTAAAGAATATTTAAAACGCAAAAAGAGATAGACAAAGCTTCGATGTAAATCAATGATTAAATTATAAGATAAATCACTACTTAAAATTCGCGAGAAAACGCGATAAATAAATAAATCGATGATATTCGGGACAATTACGGTATGTATAATTTTTATAATATCGAAGCATACACGCGCGCGATATATGTAATATGTAATGTTTGCAAATATAAAATTCAAGGTCCGATTTATTCGTGATTAACACGCGATTTTATACGAATGTCGCGATTGAGAATAACATATATATATTGTATCTCGTACATGATAGCTAAATAATATAAAATGGGGATCATGAGTTTTAAAAAAATTAAAAAACCGCGTTATCGCCAAAGTTTCGATGTAAATTAACGATTAAATTATAAGATTATAAATTGCGACTTAAAATTCGCAAGAAAACGCGACGAATAAATAAATTAATGATATTCGGAATATTCGATTGCAATACATATAATTTTTATAATAACTGAAGAATACCCTCAATAGACACGCGCGCGAGATAATTACTATAACTGTAATTACTATACATAAGACTAAAATACATTTCGCGCATAATTAAAGACTATTAAAGAAAATATTCAAAAACGCGAAAAAATAGAAGAACTTCGATATAAACCGACGATTAAATTATAAGATTAATTGCTATTTAAAATTCGAAAAAACGCGATGAATAAATAAATCGATAATATTTGGAATATTTAATTTCGATATGATAATATATAATTTTTCTAATATAATAATTAATATCCGGTTAATATTCGACAAAAAGGAGAACGATCTTAAAGATAGAGAATAATTAACATCTTGTTTTTATATCAGATTTCGCAAGAACGATCTGCAAAGAAAAGTTAAATGACCCATTAAACGTCAGGGATTCCACTGTAGGAGAGAACGAATCCTGGATCTTCCAGACTACTCCCGATAACAATGATTTCAGTAATAAATCAACGACAATTACCCTCATTGTCATTTAATTCACGATTAAAATTTACGTCAGAAAATATGTTCTATCATTATTAAAAAATATATTTCTTTATTGAAAACCAAATGGATATAATGATTTTTATGTAAATATGATTACGAACGATTATATTTATAAATAATGAAATACATGCATCATTGGAACTTGTGTTAAATGTGCGAATACGTATAATAATTTTGGGGTACCAACTGTTCGCGCGCGCGAGACGAATCAAACCCCATAACAGCAAGATTTAAAAAATTTCAATTCGAATAATTTGTAAAATAAAATAAATAAAATAATTTCAAATAGTTAAGTCTATGTACTACTTTTTTATTATTTTTAATAGCATTTAAATTAATTTGCCGATATCTTACTGTCATCAAGGTACCCATTCGATTTGTCTCATAATTTTTAAGTACTCGCACATTTTATGTTACATTCATATATATAATTTCGGACGTAACATATGTAATATTAAGAAAAATTATAAAATTTTTTGAATATGTTAATTTGTGCATGTATTTTATTATACATACATATATAGATATATATAAATTAATGTTTTCTAAAATGGCGGGCTGTCCAACATCTGCAAATAGTTTCTTAAAAGAAACTGAAAATTAATTAATATCCCTAGTACCTAGAAATAATTTTTCAAAAAAGACAAATTATATTAATTAATAAAATATATTCGTCCGTAATCATTTTTATCAAAAAAGTCAATAAAATCTAATTGCAATTTGAAATTACTTGAAAAATAAAAATTTATATACAATAATTATATCCATATGTAATCTACTATTAAGATTTTTTAGTATTAAGACAATAATATGAATAGTAATAATGATAGCACATTTTCAATGAAGAAAATATGTATTTTTTTCTTTTCTAAATGTATTATTTAAATTAATCCGGATTTAAAGAGGCGTATGGCGTTCGTCGTTGACGTTACTCCGAAATCATTGCTTTCAGGAATTGCCAGGAAAACCTGGGATTAATTACAATCCTACAATGAAAATTCCTAATTTTCAACAGGACATCGAACTAGATGTCGCAAATGGATCTTACAAGAATCGATAATAAATAATCCTCCATGATGAAAATCGTTTCAACTCTTCACCGATACGAGTCACGCAATTTTTAATAATGGTCACCTCACGAGAAGGACAGCGATAAGACTCCTTTATTAAAACGGCAATTTCGTTTAATAAACGCGCGAAGAACGCGGGAAGAACAGTTTTTTCGCATTCTTAATTTATTAATATATTTTACGAATATTATCTGGTACACGAATAGTTCTGACATGAAATTTGTAAATGTATAAATCTGATTAAAAGGAAATTATTAAATTCAAAATTAATTCGCGATTCTATAATCGAAGACGATTGTTAAATTTTGTTAAACTAATATTTAATCGTTAACTTAACATCGAATCTTCACACTTTTATATTCGACTTTTTTATTTGATATTTTTTTTATATTTAATTAGTAATATTTAGCAATATTACAGGGAGGTATAGTTATAAGATTTTTTAATTAAAATGGCAATCTCATCTAAGAGATTTATATACAAAACGCGAAAAAACCGCGGAAAAAATATGATGATATTTTCGTAATCGTAATTTATTAATTTACTTTACATTTAGTTCTGATATAGAATTCGTAAATAGATAAAATGAATATATATCATTAAATTTATAATAAATGAAATGCGATTCTATAAAATAGAAGGTGTTCATAAATTTTAATTAATACTTAATCATTAATTTAACATCAAATTTTTGCATTTTATATTTTGCTTTTATATTTGATATTTTTTTATATTTAATATAAAAAAATTAGCAACATTTGTAAAATTTATAATCTAATATTTATAAAATTGAAATATATAAAATTATATGAATTTAAAATTTATATATAAAATTTCCGAATTTATTAATGACTCTTTGATATAAAAACACAAGCACAGTTAATTTTATGAATATTTTAAAAATATATACTATAGAAAAAAATATGTTTAATGAATTTCTGTTATATTATCATTATACGAATACTTTCGATAATTTTTCGTATAATTTACATAAGAATGCATTTCATATAATTTATAATCATAAATACAATTTAATATAATATAAATTACAGTCATAATTGTATTTCATATACAATTATAATATCAATATTAAATCATAATTAAAATACAATTATAACTGCAGTACAATTTTAGTCACAAATTTGTTACAATTATTATAGTTACAAATTTATGATACTATCAATATCAAATAAATATATTCGATTTATTTAAATGTTTAAAAACATGAATAATTTGATATTAACAGCATTAATACTTGGATTTAATATTATGTAACTTTTATATATATATATATATATATATATATATATAAATATATTTTTAATTTTAAAAATGAAATATAATATGTTAAACTATTTTTTAAATATTTATAATTAGGCAATTTATTTATTTTTTTGAAAATAATTTTGATAATTTAAATTTCATTTTTAAATATTTTTAAAAATAAATTTAATTTAATTTTTTTATATAATTTTAATTTATCCTAGAATTATTGGAATAATTGAAAGAATATTTGGAATATTGAAAGAAATTGAAATATTGAAAGAAATAATGACCTCAACAACCCTAACAACCCTATCAATCCTATGATATCAACAACCCTACTTCTTGATTTAACTTATTTTAAACGAAACTTATTCGAGATTTAAGGAGCCTCTCTCTAATATATTTTAATCAATGCCCTATATTTTAATTACATTCCCTATATTTTAATCAATGCCCTATATTTTAATTACATTCCCTAATCGTGTGCCCTAACCGCGTACCCTAATCGCGTACCCTAACCGCGTACCCTAACTGCCTAGCGTGCTCTTCAGGCCAGTTAAACCTACTTTTTGTCCTGACCATTATCTCGCTCGATCTCTAATCAGAGATCGAAAAAGGAGATAAACACTCCTTCTTTTGCCGACTGATTACCAGCAAATGAGCGTAAATATTTCACGCTCATCAATTGTACATATAACAATTGTAAAATCGAACGATATTATATATTTGAATATAACTTTATTTTAACTAAAATAAAGCCAAATTATAATAAATGTTTATATATTATATTAGACTGCTAACACGATCATATCTCATGATAAAGCAAGGGCAACCATTTATAACTGGGCAGAATTTATGTCGGGTATCACAGAATTTAACATAACTTCAACTGTTAGCAATTTAGTATAATATGTAGAGAATTCTTATAATATAAAAGTCTCTGTGCAGATTATCGATCAAAATTGATTGATATTATAATAATATATATAATTAGTAAATATTTATAATAATATATAATTTATAATAAAATATAAAATTAAAGTGTGTATAACATCTATCATATTACAATTTATTTAATTAATGAATCATTTGGCTTTATCTTAAATTAAAATAAAGTTTAAAAATAATATCTACAGACAAATTTTACGATGGATGAGCTACGATGAATAAGAAATTAGAAGATAAGTACTCATTATAAAAATAAAGTAGCATCAGAAATTAATAAAATTGATAAAAATATTAATGTGTGTTCTTTATTTAATAAATTAGACACAAAATCTTTAATGAAAATAATCTTTTCTTGATTTTCTTTTTTTAATTAATATTTAAATATATTTTTAAATGCAAAGCGTTTCGAAAGAGAATTTATAAAAAATTTATTTAATTCAATCTATCCTAACTCATCCATTTTAAAGCAACGGATTTACCTACAATCTACAATCTACAATCTACATATACATCTACATCTACAATCTCTACGAATCCGTTACTTCAAAGTAAAAGTTTTTGTTCACTCACCGGCACAGATGCGCAACAGCGGAGTTGTTATTATCGAAGCTCGTTGTCTGTAACATACAAATATATAAAATTCATTTATAACAATACACAAAATCGATATTTCAAAAAAATATTATTATGCGGAATTTCATATCCGGTATAAAATAATAAGCAGTTGTATACATGTATGGAAAAATTTTATAAATTCTGAAACTATCTTTTAATTACATATATAGAAACTTTTATATAATTTTTATAAAAATCTTTCTAATTTTTCTTTAATTCATTTAAATAATAAAACCGTATTATTGTGTGTACGATTTTTAACAGTAGATATATAAATAATAAATATTCACCATCAGGTTGTTCCGCTGGTGCAGGATGCCTCTCCTAGGCCTGCTCCTCCTCTCAGATCATCAGGATTGTTGCATCATCAGGGTTATCGCATCGATCTACAAACAAAAGAAGATTCTAATGTAATAGCGTTCAAAATAATTAATATTTCAAAAATTATTGTATACATTGAATTTTGTATTCGATGCATATAATAATAGTAGATTAATAAAATAATTCTATAAATTTTAAAGAACATTACTAATAATTCTCTTATAATTTTATAAAAGCTTACATCTTTACAAGATTATAGCTTTCATTTAAAAATTTTTTTCTTTAATTCTCTCTTATTTAAATCATATAAATAAACAAATCAAATTAATTGTTGCGATTAATTGTTTAATTTAAATTATAATAAATATATTTAATATTTAATATATAATTACAAATAAATAAATTGCTTACCAGAAGGTTGCTCTGCCGGAGCCTGATGCCTCTCCTAGGCCTCCTCCTCCTCTCAGTTAGACGCGTGATACTTTTAGCGGCACTTCCGCACTCACGTGCGATATTTTTATATCGCTATTTTCGCACTTTTACGCGCGATACTGAACGGCACTCCCGCACTATTCGATACGATTAAAAATTTTCTGTTTTGTCGCGCGATGTATATATTTAATATATATATACTTTAAACGGCACTCCCGGTTTCGGTACGAGCGAAAATCCCGTTTCACTTGTGAAAGTGGGATTGCGACAAAGTCCAACGCGAAAACGCGATAACGCGATGACGCGAAAAAGCTAAACGCGAAAACGCGGAAACGAGACGCCGCCGTCCGCGACACGTTGACGGCACCGACGACGCGAAAGGGTACTTAGCTTCCTCTTCAGGCTCCTTGAGATTTATTCTAAATTAAAAAATTTAAAATAAACTTCAAGGCACCATCCAAGTACTAAGCCCTCCCACCGCGACAAGGTGTACCCCGTGGGAGGGTTATATTATATATAATTTTATATAATTAATAGATATATAATTATAAATCTTCTTTATAAAACTCAAAATAATTCATTTTGTAAAACTAATTATTACGCGTAATGAATTTGTTATTTTCATTATTGATATATATATGCAATACATGTATATTAATACGATTATAGTCGAAAGTTTAATATAATTGAAAGTTATGATACAATAATCGTTTAATTAATAATTAATTTAAGAATATACGACGTATTTCGCACTACGATCTTTATTGCTCGAGTGTCGCTTTATGAATAATACGAAGGCCATAACGTTGTATGACTAGCGCGCTATTGTTTACGTCAAGATCGAATTCCGTGTTATTATTCGTTCGTCATATCGAAATATATTGTATTATATTTTATATTACAATATAAGGTAATATAAATATGTTAACGTACGTAAGATATTTCGATGACAAACAGATAATAATATCAATCTCTCTCTCTCAAACAGATAATAATATCTTGTCGTAAACAATACGTATTTTTATTATATTATATCATATTATATTATATTATATTATATTATATTATATTATATTTTACATATTTTAATACAGCAAATAATTTTTCGATATTGATCGCGATCGCGTCTAGAAAAGAATTTAACGGAGCGTCTTGTACTACTACTTTACTCTTTGAGTGTCATCGCGCGAACGATAATAGAACCGAATAAATTAATTCAAAAGACCGTGTTATTATTATTTTTGTACCGAAACATTTTTCAAAACTATGGCATATAAACATATAAGAATATACGACATATTTCGCACTACGATCTTTACTGCTTGAGTGTCGCTTTGTGAATGATACTAAGACCATATGACTAGCGCGCTATTGTTTACGTCAAGTTCGAACGCCGTGTTATTATTCGTTCGTCATATCGAAATATATTGTATTACATTGTATTATATTTTATATTATAATATAATATAATAAATACAGCAAATAATTTTTCGATATTGATCGCGATCGCGTCTAGAAAAGGATTTAACGGAGCGTCTTGTATACCACTACTTTACTCTTTGAGTGTCGACGCGCGAATAATAATAGAACCGAAAAAGTTAGTCCGAAAGACCGTGTTATTATTATTTTTTTATCGAAACATTTTACAAGACTATAGCATATAAACATTAGCGCGTTATTACGCCACCAAGGTCGGTTATTGTTTGTTCGTCATCGAAATATTTTACGTATTTTAATATATACATATATGTATATATGGAATATATTTAAGTATATAACAGTATTTTAGATTACATAGATTTTTTAATTATAGGATTATTTATTAAAAGATTGATGTATAGAGTGTTTCATTATGTTTAGATTCAATTATTTTATTGTGCGTTCTCACAATTCAAAATATTTCAATGATTGAAAAATAAAGCATCGCAGATATATTGTATTTGACTCTATAAATATCTATAAATAGTAAAGAAATAATTTCTGCTCGTAAAAATCGATTTCATATCGAAATAATAAATTATTATTTTAGATTTCTGTTACTATAATTCTTAGTTGATTAAATGAATAAATTACGATTAAATGCGATAGAGAATTTTTGTCGCGATTTGTATATAGATATTAATTATGTGTTATTTATAAAAGTTAATTAATCATATAGTTATAATAAATAATTTTCGGTGTTGATCGCGATCGCATCTAGAAAAGAAATTTAACGGCATATCATTATATTACTTATTAAAAAATATTAGACAATAACATATAAAATTATATAAATATGAATAAATATGAAATTATATAAATCGTTTCATAATCGGCATGCAGATATTACAAATGCTATCTGCATCTGATTTATATAATTTTTCATATGCCATTGTCTACTATTTTCGAATGTGTAATAATATTAATGTCACGTTGAAGGTAGATTAAAAGATAATCCGAAACGTTCGTATTTATTGTATGTATTGTGACGAGTAATTTGAAATATACTAATAATTTGAAATATATAATAATAATTAAATGAGAAAGGATTTTTCTTGTGCTACAGTTAACGCGCTTTTTATTGGTTCTTAGTTATCAATTGTTTAGTTAATTTTTAATTATTATTATTTGAGCCAATTTTTTATTTTAATTTTAATACTTATATTATTTAATATTTAAAAATAATATTTAAAAATAAACTAGAATATTTTATGTGTTATAATTTATTTTCAATGATGAACCGTTGTGATAAAGATCACGTAAAAATGGCGGTGGCGATGGTGATGATGGATGATGTGTGATTAATATATTGTATCAAGGAATATATTAATAATTAATTATATTATTAATACAGGGAGAGAAAGACCACCCAAAACTTTAGATTTGTATTAAAAATTTAGCGTTTTGCATTATCGATACTTGTGTTACTGACGGAACAATCCAAAATAATGTTACCTACTGAAAACATTCATGATTTAGCTTCGTAGTTCATGTCCACGTTTTTATTTCAGAGGGCGTATTGCCTTTAAGAATTACCCAAGTGATCTATGATGTTTCTTATTCTTCTTTCTGATTGAAATTAATTGAGGCAAATATTTTTTTAATTAAACGGTAGTATATATTAAATTACATATAATAATGGCGATGGTGGTGATAGATAATGTGTGATTAATATATAATATAATATAATATCGGGTAATATATTTTAATAATTATACTTGATAGATAGATATATAGATAGATAGATAAATAGATAGAGAGAGAGAGAGATCACAAAACTTATTTATATTACAAATTTATTTAATATATACAAACGTTTTGCGTTACTGCTTATGTGTTACTGCTTATATGTTACTGCTTTTGCGTTTTGCTTATGTTATCGACATTTATCAAAAGTGTACGAGGCATGGAATATAATCCGAAATTATGTTACCCATTGAAAACATTCGTAGATTTGACTACGTAGTTCATGTTTATATTTTTTGTTTATAGGATGCATCGCTTTCAGAGATCGCCTAAAAGCAGACTATGACAAAACAGAGTGAAAACTATGAACAATTTTGTTGTTTGTTTTATAGATTTTAAAAATGGCTTGTCGTATGCTACATATTTGTAGAGTTGTAAATAATTTGATAAAAATGTTCAATCTGTAAACAATGGTAACGCAAATGAAATATATCATTGTCTCTAAATCATTATATGTAATTAACATATAATATGTATTTAGAATTAATTTATCAATTTAATTCTAATAAAATTATGAAATTTTTTTCAGGTATATATTATTGTTTAATATTGTTTAATTTATTGCTTGTCAGTCATTCACATTTATTAAAAATAGTCACTTTATTAAATAATGTGAGAAACTCTATGTTCTTTGCGAATAGTAAGTAGAACTTTTATGGATATAACATTTTGATAATAGTTTATATTTACAGTAGAAAATAGTTTGTATTTCACTGTGCTTTTGTTCTATAGGACCTGAAGATGAATTATGAAAGGGTGTGACAAGTATCAGTAATGCAGGAAGACGCAGAGGTAGAGCAAGAAGAGTAGTGAAAAGAGAGACCTAAATAAGGAGCAAATTATTGGCATGGGAAAAATTCCGATACAATTTCCTGGTCTGAACACTTCTGTGTTTAGAAGAAAAGAATTAATTCAACAGCTAAAACTGCTTGTAAATCTTGAAAGAAAGCAAAAACTTATGGAATTACCACAAAGTAAGACCAGACCAATGCAAATAAAATTATCGCCATTGGAATGTGGTTGGAGGAGTGTTACAATGGATGGCAGAAGCATTGAATCAGATCTTATTGGAAAAGGTTAATATTTATGCTATTATTGGATTATAATGGTTAAATTACATACATACAAAAATCATGTGATACGATGTCTATTTTCAATTTTTTTTTTTTTTTGATGTTTCAGTTCTAAATATTAGAATCTTATATAATTAATATCTTTGTTTTCTGCAGATACATTTGAAAGTTTTGAAACCTGGATTTTGGAAAACAAAATGATAACTTGTATGACCAGTAATTTAGCATGTAAGACTAGAATCAATTCATTTATAGTAACTGGGAATGGAAATGGATTGGCTGGATTTGCATTATCAAAAGCCAAAGTATCCCTAAAGATGATTAAAAATAGGGCTGGTCAAAGATTAATGTATATTCCTACATATAAGGAACACACTGGTAAGAAAATACTTGTCAATACTATATAATATAAAATTTATTTCTTCTCTTTTAATATCACTTTGTATTTTTCAGTGTTACATGATTTCTTTACACAGTTTGAGAATATAAAAATATTTGTAAAGAAAATTCATGAAGGATAATAGGCTTGTTTGTTATCATGCGATAAAAGCGTGTTGCGAGATAATTGGCATAAAGGATATGTATGCCAAAGTACAAGGAGGAATGTAAAAACATTCTTTACTGGTTTGCAACAGGTATATATATAAAGTATTTAAAGGCATATTATACTTTTTATTTAATTTAAATGAATTTAATTTATATTTAATTTTATTTAATTTATATGAATTTAATTTATATTTAATTTATTAGAAAGAAACAT